GTGAACTCCATTCTCTGTGTTCCCTAGATTTTTGTATATTCTTAAGAGAGAACATATGTTGCTACTCCCCAGAGAGTGTGTAAGAACGGTACTATTGAAGCCTAATCAACGCATTGGTCATGCAAATGGCCTATATATTCTACTTCCCCATTTCTTTACTGTGAAAAAGGTCAAAGTACCCGAATTAACCTGGCAAATGTTGACAGACCGACAGACTGGAATGACAAACATTTCCTATTCTCCTTCCAAGTGTTTTGATTAATCTTGTGGAACTACATAACATCACTTGTAAATGTAATAATGCCTCAAATGTTTTATAACTTTTACATAATAATACAATGGAGTATGATGTCGTTTGCTTTGACAGCTGAACAACTCAAAAGATATTCACAGTAAAAATGTACTTTCACAATAATCTCAGCAACCCAGAACCAAACCTCACGTGAGCCTCCAGCCACAGATGTTAGGAGGCTACTTTCACAATAAACCACATTTTATTGGCACATAAAAACATACAGTACATATATACATATTTTCTCATATTATTTACAAAATAAAGATCATGGCTGTGCTACACATGTATAAAAATATGCATGACATCTATATAAATATGTACACAATGTGCAAAATGTATGTATGGCATACAGAGGATGACAACGACTTGGCAGATGTCTTACTAGTTACAACATCTCAGACAAAGAACAATGGTTGAGCACAAGACAGTACTGTACAGAAACCACAGAATTAGGTAGGCCCAAATCAATATTATTTGCTTGCAATGATCAACATGATGATATGGCAAGTGCTGAAGTTGAATCTGCTGTACTGTGACATCTTGTTATAAGGTACTGACAAAATAAAAATGCACCAGTCCTGTAAGAGTAAGTCTATGGCCTTATTGCTTCACTAACATTCTATTAAGAGTAGCCGACAGTACACAGATTTGACATGGTTCAGAATCAAAATGTTTTCGAATCCAACGGTCACATTTAGAGCATACCCATGTTCATTTTGTCCATTGATGCACTTGGTCCTATAATTCTGATATGGATGGTAAAAATCATACACAGTAATCTTCCTCTTGCGTATATACAGAAAAAACATGAATGATTTTGAAACAACATTTTAGAAATACAAGAAACATTTTGTCAACAGTAGATATTCACCAATGTTTCACTGCCTTATTAGGCAACAATTGAAAAACGAATAATTCCTTACTAGCCTTAAACCACAGTTACAAGCATTTGGTTCCCAATGGTCAGAGACAGTGTGTACAGTATGACAGTATTACCTGCCTATGGGTTATTATTAGTGTTTGACTTGTTGGATAAGAATGATCGTTCAAATAACGACATAAATAGAAAAGCCATGGTATTCTAAAGTGCTGTACAGTACGACCGTATTAATTCTATACAATATTGATCAGAATATTTGGATTGAGATACTGAATATTAGTAACTCGTTTGACATAAGCCAGGAAGAACTACACAACGCTAGTTTCAATGTATCATACATATAATCATCAAAATTCTTCCACAAAATGGTAGCTATACTAGAAGCTACTGTGTTGTCCCTTGTAGTTTACCCTGTATGCTGGGCACACCACTGGGGGTGTCAATGTGCGTTTTGACCACATAACACAAACCAAACAGGACGGATAGAACAGTCAGAGAAAAGCTGTTCTGTGAGCCAGACGTTTAAAAAACTCAGCCTGTAAAATGTGTTCATTTGGCAAAGATATTTATGTCTGATGAACCTCCAACTTCATAAAAATAAAGTACTCAAATGAGTTGCTGCCAACTCAGGTGACAGAGACAAATATAGCCCGATATCAGACACTTATTAAAACGTGCATTCAAGAAGACACGCTGACACACATGCTGACACGTGCAGACACACAAGACACATGTAGACACACAGACATAAGACACTTACTTACAGACAGACATGTAGGGCTGGGCGATATATCTAATTAATGTTTTTGCGCGATATTCCAAATGCCTGTATCGCAGAATTGAGTTTATTTTTTCATTTTTATTAGCGTTTATGTCCGCTTGTTATCATAGTCTTTTTGGTGCTGTGCACCTTCCCATTTACACAAGAGATCTGTATATAATGGCGAGATGCTCATGTCTCCGCCCTAACAATGGGAGTCATTGTCCCAAAGGCGGGAAGGCAGGCGACAAGCTTAGGTTCAAAATTAGCACATAGGGCTTATATTGGACAGATTTTGGCGAGAGTGAAACCTCTCGCGTCGCCTCTTTCTCCCAAGTCCCTCCCCTTACCACTCACATTTTTATTTTTTAGTCATTTAGCAGACGCTCTTATCCAGAGCGACTTACAGTTAGTGAGTGCATACATTTTTCATACTGGCCCCCCGTGGGAATGGAACCCACAACCCTGGCGTTGCAAGCGCCATGCTCTACCAACTGAGCTACACGGGCCCTCACAACAACAAAGATGAGAGATCACTTCTTCCTCTTTGACAAATGGTTTGAACTCGCTATTTGCATTTGATGTTTGATCCAACAGAATTGGTCATATAGACACCGAAACACATGGAGACATTATTTTACTGTAATAGAGAAGTTGTCAACCTTTCAACTTCTCAAATTCGAGCAGAGCAGACGCCACTAAAACGGATGTCCCAATCAACGTTCATTCTGGAAAATGAATGCTCAGTTTGTCGCGCGCATTACGGTACCGCGTATCGCTAGCAGCATTTGAGTCAAATAAAGATTGCTATACTATCTGTTTAGTCTGTGTTTTATAAGAATGCAATAAGCATAAAACAATTATATTAAGGAATTGGCAACTCATTCTGAGAAATAAGGTAGGCCACTTGATTTCAACATCTGAACAAAGTGGACAGGCTACTATGCTGTTCAAACAGTTGGGAGATGGACAGAAGGTTGTGTTCATAACAATTCAACTGTTTTGCCTTGTTAGCTGAATTCAGAGCTTGTGAAATTATAACTAGATCTAAACTGGCTAAACTTGAAATATAAATATTATCTGGCTACTCACTAGCACATGGGCTTGTGCTTGAGAGATTGTTTATGAGACCCGTGTTAATTTTCTATAATGCCTGCTACATTATTTGTGAATGTGCATTATGCATGGTTATGGTAATATTTGTAACAAAATGGGCATTTTTATAGACAGACCTGAAAGCCAGATCAGTAATTATTGCAATAAAAGCAAGTATAACTATTTTGATAAAATAATTACATTATTAGTGTGGCTTATGGTTGTGGAAGGCATATATTCAGCCTAGGTATAATGAATTTACTAGATTTTTGCTGAGTGTTTTAAATGTAGTGTATTTGACCTTTAAATTGTACAACAAAGCTTATTTAGAGAAAACATTTTTATTTTTTTCAAATCGAGACATATATTTGGAATCGCCCATAAACAATTTTTTTAAAAAGTGAGATATGAGTTTTAGGCAGGGGCACAACTTTCACTGGGGACTTTTGCATTTTTGTCCCCACCCAGTTTTATCATTGGAATGTGATACAAAACGAGGCAACGGTGTGCTTTAGGGCCATGCGGACGCCTCCGAGCTGCCCCCCCCCCCCCACACTTCTAAAACCACAGTTGCGCCCCTGGTTTTAGGCCACATCGCCCAGCCCTAAACACATGCATACTTTCTCACACAGAGACAGAACCACAGACACACACAGAGACAGAACCACAGACACACAAAGTGCAGAGAGTTGACAGACAGATTTCAGGACAGACAGAAGAGTATAACGCCTCTGTTCTCCAGAGGTCATGCAGCCACATTAAAACATGTCACAAACACTGTAGAATCCAGTTAGCCTGAGTGCCAGTCTTTTTGTGCCATCATGCCACCTCCTTGTCACTCATGGTCATGTCAAATATATCTGTCTTGACAATGAGTAACAGAGTTGGCAAGAGCACAAAGAGACATGGAACCAGGCTAGCATACAGTAAGTACACACATTAACCTGTATGTATTGTACCTGTGTGATACCATATTTGTTCCCTCGCCACTGATACGTCAGTTGTCTTTCAGAAGATAAAGCTGCCAACAATGTAAAGTCTCCATTTACATTCAGGCGGATCAACTTAGACTTGAACTGAAGGCGCTAGTACACAGAGATAACCAACAAGTGGATCGACATTGTTTCAATAAACCGTTAAATCTACAAAATCATTATCTGTGATTCACATTTCCTTATGAGGTGAAGGAGGTGTAAGGCCCGCCTCCTTAGTGCATAGCTCACAGAGTGGGAGGAGTCCACTCCTCCTCGCCCAATAGGAGTGAGTCTTTGTTCTCAGCGTCAGTTCAGTTCATTGCTTCAAATAGTCCAACTGTCTCATCCAATACAATATGTATCAGAAGGGTCAGAAATATAGGTATGTCGCAATAAAAGACCAGTGTTAAACACAGCCCTGTACTCTGTCAGGTTTACGTCTGTCAGTTATGCCGTCTGTCGTGGCTTGTGTACAACAGATCTGTAATAAACAAACAGCATGCTTCCACAGAGCAATGGCTGTAGATGAAGAGCCTGTAGTATGACTGATGTGAAACGCATGCGAACTTAACACATCCACATGTTCACCGCAAGGCAAGCTGACCACCATACAGGCTGGTTGCACAACCCAATAAACACTCCAGGAGGGCTGAGGGAACATCTAACCTTGTTCTGGTTGAAATAACTCCGTCATTTACAGGATATTTACATAATTTCTGCATCCTTGTTCATTTGGCTCTGGCCCCAGTACTCTATTAAGCACCACCCAATGCTCCCATCACCGGCTGGTCAATCCTAGGATATGGTAGCAAAAAATAAACAAGACAATTTTGTGTTAACCCCCCCAAAAAATGTTTTTGTTTTTGTTTTAAAATGCACCAGGACTATAACCTGACTAACCAAGTCTGGATTTCTTATGTTGAGTACCTCTATCCCAACCACTCCTCTCCTCCTCTTCTCTCGGTCCCTCCATCCTTGCCCTCATCCATCTCTCCATCAGTCCCAGTGCAGCTGCAGGTCGTGTGTATCCAGGAAGTCTGAAGGAATCCCCAGTGGCGTGAGCCCCCCCGCGGGGCCGGGTGGCATGGTTAGGTCCAGCCACTCCATGTTGTCTAGGGCTGTGTCAGACAGGCCCATATTGAGGGAGGGGGGAGACGTGGAGTCGCAGAAGGACAGCTCCGAGGTGTCCATGGGGGAGTAGGGTTGATCCAGGAGCTGGGACTGCAGCTCCTCGATCAGACCCAGGGTGCGGGGGTCCGTAGTTGGGGATGGGTCGTTCAGGGTCCCCTCCAGGAAGGCCTCCAGCTGGTTGTCTGAGGTCAGGGAGGCCAGGCTTGGGAGATGGAGGGGGTCGACGGGCGGGGTGGGAGGGGGAGCTACCTGGATCTGCGGAGGGGGCCTGGACAGGGCAGTGTTGACAGGGAGGGTAGTGATGTTGGCTGTGATAGGAACAGTCTTGGTGCTGAGAGACAGAAGGTCCTGCTGCTGGATGAAAGGAGTGATCTCTGGAGGAAATAGAAGATGGGGACAGATTAATCACCTGTATTAAACACAGGCTTCTTTAATGTTAATGTGAAGTCTAAAAACAAACTCCAACTTTATTACTGTTTACAGATATGAAACGGCCAGATAATCATAACTAGGTCAGTCCCTTCAGGGTTATGACAAGGAGCTAAAGGTGTAAATGTTTCTTGATGCTGTGAACTCTCACCTCCACTCTGAATCAGGATGTCAAATAGGTCATCCATTTGCTGGCTGGTTGCCGTGGAAACCTGAGAAAGAGACAATAAGGTAAGGGGGTGGAGATGCATGACCAATAGCATTACAGTCTCTGGGGTGTGACCAATAGCATTACAGTCCCTCAGGACTTGGGAGAGTACCTCATATATTTGTGAATGTGTGTGTGTTTGTTACTGTATATATGTGGGAGTGTGTGTTTGTCTGTTACTGTATGAGTGTGTCTGTTACTGTATGAGTGTGTGTTTGTCTGTGTGTGTGTGTCTGTTACTGTATGAGTGTGTGTTTGTCTGTGTGTGTGTGTGTTCACCTGTGTAAGGTTGTTGGCCTGCTTCAGGTTGCGTGTCTGTTTGACTGCATCCTCGTAGCGGGGGGGCTCCCTGGTCGTGGGGGGCTGGGTCACGAGGGAGGAGGGATGGAGGATGAAGGCGGGCTGGGATGGAGACAGAGATGGAGAGGGGGATAAGAAGAAGAAAACATTGAACAAACACAACCTACCTTGTCTGTAACAACAACTCACATAACCAATGTAAGATTTGAGAGGATTTGAGAGAGAAAGTGGAACTGGAAAGGTAGGTGGTTTACAATGTGTATTTTGCGTCACATTTAACCTAGAGGTTAGAGGATGATGTTTTCTAATAATACACCTATGGGTACCTTGTTGACAGGCCCCTTGGAGAGGGTGTGGTTGGGTGAAGCCCCCTCGGGAGAGAGCCTGTTATCTGGGGAGCTGCTCAGGAAACACTGGGGATGCATGTCAAGCCTTGTATGGTTCTCCACCATCCCAGAGCCAGGGTTGTTGCACGCTGTGAAAGTCTGTAGAAGAGTGACACACAAAAAGGGGTTAACCTTAACTTCATCACCAGTCCTACTAGATCTTATTTCAAGCACGTTTCAGATCCATATTTTCCAGGATTCTGGTGTGGTATGACTTACCTGCAGCATGTGGTTGTGATTAGGTCTCTGCTGTTGAGTTGAGGCCTGCCGAGTCTCCATCTTGGTGGTGTGTAGCTGGGGCACTGAGGCCTGGATCAGGCCTGGGGCTTGATTTGACATCGTAGCCTGGAGGACAGGTAGGAGGATCTGGGTAGTGCCATCCTGGGCTGCAAGCAGGGTCTGGGTGCCAGGCTGGCCTACAACCTGGGACACTGTCCCCTGGTGGCTGATGAAGAACTGGGGCAGGCTGGGGGTCGAGTTGGGCTGGTGCGGGGGCTGGGAGTTGCAGATGACATCCTCCAGCTTCACCACGGTTGGAAGAGAGTGAGGCTGAGTCTGGGGAGCCATGTTTGAGGTAACCCTGGCTGAGCAGTTAGGGAGGACCCGGTCTTCCAGTTTGACCTTGTTGGAAGTATGGATCATGGGGACAGGGTCTGTGGAGGGTCCCTGTAGAGGCTGGGTCTTCTCCACCTCCAGCTGCATCTTCAGCTCCTCCACCAGCCTCTGCTCCTGCTCCAGCTTCCTCATCAGCTCCTCGATCTGACGTTCCTTCTCATGGAGCCGTCGGTCCTTCTCCTCCGGGACACGACCAGGGACAACACCTGGCCTCAGGGGGGACATCCCTGCGCCTGCACGACCGGGACTCACACTCTGGGGGTCGCAAAGGAACTCGGACACCCCTCTGTTGTCTCTAAAGGTGGAGAGGTCTGTGGGGATTGGGGACACTGGGTGTGTGGAGCTCATGCTCTCTGGTGCCACCTGATGGGCAGCTAGGTGAACTGCGGGGGATGAGCTGACCTCCATAGGGACTGAGGATGGGAGGGTGTTAAGGCCGGGGGTCAGGGCTGGGGTGCTGGGGCTCTCCTGGTAAGGTTTCAGCCTCTCGATGAGATCAGTCTTGGTCCCTGACACAGGGAGGCTTCGCAACTTCAGCTCCAGTTTCAACTCGGCCACCTTCATGTCCTCCAGGTTGGGGGGCAGGTGGCCAGGCTTGCGGTTGGACAGGCTGTTGGGGCGGACAGGGGTAGGAGGCGGGACAGTGACAGGGGGGGCGGGCGGCAGGGACACCACTATAGAGGTTGGCAGACCGTTCACAGCGCTGTTCTGACCCTCAGCTACAGGCCTGGAGGAAGAGCGGAAGGGGAATGGAGAGAGAAACAAGGGGAAGGAGGGAGAGTAAAGAGGGTGGAGTGAGAGATGGTGAAGGAGGGAGAGGGGAAAGAGGGGAGGGGTGGAGAGAGAGGGAGAAGGTAACAATGGAGGGACGGGGGGGTGGAGAGAGAGAGAGAAAGGAAATGTGTTAGCAATATGAAGGGAACTAAGGAGCTTCCTCTGCCCGGCGCCTCAGTACACAGTCAGTCAATGGAACAATGCAGAGTTCCAACAATAACTGACATACACAGTTCTAATGGGCCCTGGATCAACTCCCACTAAGACAACATCCTGCAGGTTATTAATATCATTACAGAGGATTTGTTATTGGAAACTAGCTAATTGTCCTATTGCCATTTGGGCCATTGGAAACAACAACAGCTGGGTTGCTTTTTAGGTACTTTCCAGCTAACATAATGTTCTCTTGTAAACCTTTGTTTGAAAAACGGGTAGACGGATCCGGTCTTTACGTCAAAGAGGTTGATAGCCTAGTAAGGGGCAAATCCTAACTTCCATTTAAATCACATTTGCACTTGGTCTCCCATTGACAAAGTGGAAGTTAGGATTTGCCCCTGATATGACAGTAATATCCTACTTTAAGGGTGCAGGAAGAATGGTGTGGTAGTTGTAGTGCTGCTGCTGCTGGTGGAGGATCTGCAGCTGGAGGAAAAGCTGCTGCTGGTGGAGGATCTTGGCGTAGGATGAGTCCATGGGGGCTTCGCTGGCTTCCTGTTTCTGGTCCGGGGGGACGTACTGGTGGTACTTTAACTTCTTGACCCGGGGCTTGGGCTCCTTGCCCTTCTTACTGCGATTCCTCTCCCCCGCCTGCCTGGGCTGGCTCTGCTGTCGGATGAGAGAGGAGGTGAAATGGCAAGATAAAGAAGATGCACATGCTTCAAAACGTTCAAGTTTATTATATAAAACATCATTGCACAACAATATGAAATGAGATGCGCTTTATACGATGAGGTCCACTCTGAAATAAACTAAAATACATTGACATAAAAAACAACAGTCATCTAAAAAGGGATTTCCTTTTTGGGTTAAAAGTTGAGTTTTTACCAGTGGGCACATTCCAGTTAGGAATTGAAGAAATGACCCCAGGTAGACTACAGGGTCAGTTTGTACGCTCTAGGCAGAAAGGTCAGTTGGTGTCTTTTAGTGCAACTGATTGGCTGTGTGTATTGTCTCCCATTTCGCAGGTTATAGTGGTTTGGTCAGTCTTAGACTTGTTTTAATAAACAGGGTCAGCTCTGACCATCTGTGTTTAGAAGTGACTCAAGTACTGTATTTTTCAATTACTTTAATTCAGATTTGAGTACAGAAAGATCAAAAAAAAAAAAAAAACTGTCAAACACCTTTATTCATCGATTTGGATTCAATGCTAGTTCAAAGACTGAGCTTTTGTTTCAATGTGAACTAATTCCCTAAACAGTAGACAAAACAACGTGTCTGCTTACTTTCACTAGGCTGGGCCCTGGCTTTTGAGAAGCGACAGTGGTGATTGGCTGAGGTGAGGGAGCTGGGCGGTTGACTGGTGGCTCATTGGTGGAGAGCGCTTTGAGGAAGTCTGCTGTTGCCTGGGTGACAACAGGGAAGGGCTGGGACAGAAAGAGAAGTCAGAGAAACACAATAACATTTCAGTTATAACAGGTAAGCCTATGTTTCAATATCAATAATATTTACCTAAATTCTTAATTATTACAATCCTTCAGGGGTAGACAAAAAATGAGGGGTATTATTAGGGACGCAAATCTACCAGTCATTTACCAAAGTTACCGGAATCTTCAGTAATAAACAGGTAATCTATTGTAACTTTGGTAATTTATACTTTTTAAAAATGTAAGATATAGTATTCATTTTTTATATCTGTGTCCATATTGTCCATGAGTTTCTAGTGGCTAGACCATATGGTTCAAGAGAAAAATGGCCTAATTAATGAAAAAAGCATCTAATCAACAATGGCATTATTTTTCTATTAATTCTGCAACGCTTTCAACTATTAACTTTTTTCACAACTGCCACCAGTTTGGCGCCAAAACATTTACAACGAAGACATAGTCTAAGTGTATAAAAATGATAAAGGATATTTCATGCTGAAACCCTCATATTAAACACATTATTACATTTTAGTCATTTAGCAGACGCTCTTTATCCAGAGCGACTTACAATAGTGAATGCATACATTTTCGTACTGGTCCCCCATGGGAATCAAACCCACAACCCTGGCATTGCAAGCACCATGCTCTACCAACTGAGCTACACAGGACACCAATGGTATTCATTAAGTTCATGGTTTATATTTATGTTGTCATTAACATTTTTAAATCATGCTATTTGATTATTTTAATTATAGACACCTAAAAAGCCACTAGATGTCATCTTATAGAATTCCCCCAAAACCTTGAAAGCTACCAAAATTCTGGTAGTTTACTGGTAAACTTAGAAAGTTAACAGTAATATACCCTCCCTTTGCAACACTAAGTATGATGAAGCATATTTATTGTCCTTCAAGAGGAAATTTGAGTGGATAAAGATCCTCCCTAGTCCCTACCTGTAAAATGGTATGGTTGTTGGTGGTGGTGGGCAGCGGTGGTGGACAGGGGGCGTCCAGGGCCCGGGGTTCCCCAGGGGAGGGGGAGGGTGCGGAGGCCTGGGACTCGTGGCTGGCCGGCTGCTCTGGAGACAGGGCATCCCCGCTGTCCTCCTCAAACCCGTAGGCGTCCAGTGCTTTGGGGTAGTTTACTGAGGGACCAACACAGTCAACATTAATACATAACATTAACTCCCGAGTGGCGCAGTGGTCTAAGGCACTGCATCGCAGTGCTAGCTGTGCCACTAGAGATTCTGGTTCGAATCCAGGCTCTGTCGTAGCCGGCCGCGACCGGGAGACCCATGGGGCGGCTCACAATTGGCCCAGGGTAGGGGAGGGAATGGCCGGCAGGGATGTAGCTCAGTTGGTAGAGCATGGCGTTTGCAACGCCAGTGTTGTGGGTTCGATTCCCATGGGGGGCCAGTATAAAAAATTATGTATGCACTCACTAACTGTAAGTCGCTCTGGATAAGAGCGTCTGCTAAATGACGTAAATGTAACTAAGGACCACGTTAAAAAGGGGGAAAGGTGAACGAAGAGGTCTAAGAATTGTGTGATCTGGGCCCGTTTAGTGCTGATCTAGGATCAGGTTTCGGCTGTCCATCTAATCTTATTCATTATGAGCTAGAAAGACAACTGATCCTGATCAGCACTCCTACACTGAGACTTGATACATACGGCTCCAGATCGAGATCACTCTCACCAATGATGGCCTCCTTGACGCTGGATTCTACAGGCAGAATGTTCTTTTCTACCAGTTCCATGGGGCCGGGTCGCTGGGCCAGCTTCTCATTCAGGTCGTCAGCCAGCCTGGCCCTCTTCAGCTTCATCTGGGTGGCCTGCAGTGAGGGCTCTGCCCCAGTCTCCTTGAGGATGTGCATTCTGACCAGCTCAGATCTCTCTGGTCGGCTGCGGATCTTGTGCTTCAGGAAGTTCTCAGTCTGGGGTAGGGAACAGGGGGTCAGGGCATTGTCAAGTAATTTCAATGCAAGAAGTTACTGAATATATTAAGGAATGTATTTGCAAGGCTGAGCTCTTACCCGGGCTCTCTCCAGGCTGCGTATCTGCTCATGGAATGCCGCTGGGCTCTTTAGAGCTGCATGGACAGAAACACATTATGTCAGCTTCATCAACAGACAGATAACTACATTATGACTTTATGAAGTGACAGTGGCCACACTCACGTGGCATTATGCCCTGGTCTACCAGCTGCTCACGGGTACGTCTCTGCTGTAGCCTCAGCTGAAGGACTGTTGGAGAAGAGAGAGAGAAGGTTAGTGGGGGAGAAGGGTAGAATCTTCAGTAAACACAACCAGAGAGGGCCTGCATCTGAGGGTCTGAACCCATCATGAGTAACTGAGGTTCCAGAGCAGGATGTGGCTCTGATAGACCGCTAGACACATACCAGGGGAGTTAGGACCCCCACAATCACCACTCATTTCCTCTCTAGCCAGCAGTGTAACCACATAACACTGACCAATGGAATGTCCTCCTCTAACCCAGTCCGTCAATTCATTAAGAATTGCCCCCCCACCCCTCTTTTGCGCTGCTGCTACTCTCTGTTTATTATCTATGCATAGTCACTTTAATAACTCTACCTACATGTACATATTACCTAAATTACCTCGACTAACCGGTGCCCCCACACATTGACTCGGTACCGGTACCCCCTGTATATAGCCTCCCTACTGTTATTTTACTGCTGCTCTTTAATTATTAGTCACTTTTATTTCGTATTGTTTTATATAGTATTTTTGTGTGATTTTTTTAGGTATTCTTTCTTAAAACTGCACTGTTGGTTAAGGGCTTGTAAGTAAGCATTTCACTGTAATGTCTACACCTGTTGTATTCGGCGCATGTGACAAATAACATTTGATTTGATTTGGTCTCACTTGAATACCTTATATGAACAACAATGTCATTCCTTAAAACTGTTTCATTCTTTGGTCCTTGGAAAATTGTACAGGAACAGAAATCAGGGGGAATTGCGATTTTATCTCAAATGGCTAAACATGTAAAGAAAAAAAAACATACACCGAAATCAGCTCAAATGTACTTGACTACATTGATTACCATAATAGCTGTGTTCCCTTCCTGTATCAATAACCACAACATTACTGCAACCAGGAAACCAACTTGATTACCCAGATCAAAACAACACTACTACATTAATAAAGAACATGCATTGAGTTGTACAATTTAGAGTGACTAAACCTGCCAATGTGACACATCCATGGCATTAACAGAATGCTGAGTAGCCTGTGACCTCAGAGTCATTCTAAGCAGACAGACAGACACCTCATCTGACCCTGAGAAACGACCTCCTATCCACTCGGGGCAATTCCACGGAAACAGAATGACAGTGACTACGATTTTTCACTTTAAAAGAAAGCCAAACAAAAACCATTGATTTCTAAGTTAAACAAACCATACAACTATGCACAAGGACTACTTTTAACAATTTCCATAGAAAATTTTACAAAAACACATTTACTCAAAGAACAGCGAAAATATAACGTTTGGTAACAGAATGACTAAAGTCTACCTCACAATTTTTATGTGAACACATTTTCCAAAAACTCTTAAATACCTACTCCGAATTAAGATTCGAAGATGTCTGCAGAAAGAATGGATTGTCAGCTATGATATGACAACTTGTGTTTGAAAACATCTATTTTGGTTATTGAACTACAGTAAGTGAAGTGGATTAACACCAGATAACAGAATGATGGTAACAGAATGACATCATGTGTCCCTGATCTGTACTATACAGAAATGAAATAATTATAAATATGAATGTCATTCTCTTCATGGTGATGTATCCTGAATAGGTACACAAAAAGGTAGAAATATGCAATATCCTCCTTTGCATATTTGGGTATTATTCTACACACTGGCTATTATTCTAATGAGCTCTGGTGGAAATTCCTGCAGTCAGCATGTCAATTGCATGCTCCCTCAAAACTTGAGACATTTGTGGCATTGTGTTGTGTGACAAAACTGCACATTTTAGAGTGGCCTTTTATTGTCCCCAGCACAAGGTGCACCGGTGTAATGATCATGCTGTTTAATCAGCTTCTTGATATGCCACACCTGTCAGGTGGATGGATTATCTTGGCAAAGGAGCAATGCTCACTAACAGAGATGTAAACAAATTTGTGCACAAAATTTGAGAGAAATAAGCTTTGTGTGCATATGGAACATTTCTGGGATTTTTTATTTAAACTCATGAAACATGGGACCAACACTTTACATGTTGCGTTTATATTGTTGTTCAGTATAAATTCCAAAGTTTGTCATTTTATTAAATTAAGATTTTCAAATGCCATGGTATATCCTTGTAGGTAAAAATGTCAAAAGGATCATTTAATTTAGACAAAGCTTTTTCATTGTTAAAATAGGCCCCCCCAAAATATAAGTAAATTACACTCACTCAAGTAATTGAATACTAACGTCCTGTTCGGGTACCCGGATATTCAATTAACCGTGCCGATCCCTACTGTATAGTACTGTATTATACTGACCTATACTCTACTTATATTTACTGTCCTGTGCTCTACTGTCCTGTCCTGTGCTCTACTGTCCTGTCCTGTGCTCTACTGTCCTGTCCTGTCCTCTACTGTCCTGTCCTCTACTGTCCTCTACTGTCCTGTCCTCTACTGTCCTGTCCTCTACTGTCCTGTCCTGTCCTCTACTGTCCTGGCCTGCCTGTCCCCTACTGTCCTGTCCTCACTTGCTCTACTTTCCTGTCCTGCACTGTGCTCTACTGTCCTGTCCTGCACTGTGCTCTAACTGGTCCTGTCTGCACTGTGCTCTACTGTCCTGTCCTGCACTGTGCGCCTGACTGTCCTGTCCTGCACTGTGCGTCTACTGTCCTGTCCTGCACTGTGCTCTACTGTCCTGTCCTGCACTGTGCTCTAACTGTCCGTCCCTGCCTGTGCCTGTCACCCTGCACTGTGGCTCTACTGTCCTGTCCTGCAGCTGTGCTCGACTGTCCTGTCCTGCACTGTGCTTACTGTCCTGTCCTGCACTGTGCTCTACTGTCCCTGTCCTGCACTGTGCTCTACTGTCCTGTCCTGCACTGTGCTCTACTGTCCTGTCCTGCACTGTTGCGCTAACTGCCCTGTCCTGCAACTGTGCTCTACTGTCCTGCTGTCCTGCACATGTGCTCGTAAGTCCGTGTCCTGCACTGTGCTCTAGCTGTCCTGTCCTGGCACTGTGCTCTACTGTCGCTGTCCTGCACTGTGCTCTACTGTCCTTCCTGCACTGTGCTCTACTGTCCTGTCCCTGCACTGTGCGACTACTGTCCTGTCCTGCACTGTGCTCTACTGTCCTGTCCTGCACTGTGCTCTACTGTCTGTCCTGCACTGTGCTCTACGTCGTCCTGCACTGTGCTCTACTGTCCTGTCCTGCACCTGTGCTCTACTGTCCTGTCCTGCACTGTGCTCTACTGTCCTGTCCTGCACTGTGCTCTACTGTCCTGTCCTGCACTGTGCTCTACTGTCCTGTCCTGCACTGTGCTCTACTGTCCTGTCCTGCACTGTGCTCTACTGTCCTGTCCTGCACTGTGCTCTACTGCACTCTACTGCACTCTACTGCACTCTACTGCACTCTACTGCACTCTACTGCACTCTACTGCACTCTACTGCACTGCACCGTGCTGTCCAAACTTGTGAAACAGACGTCTATGATTGGTTCCGATTTGGACTGACCAAATTTTAACTACATTTGATCGTCCGGTGTCGGTCGGTGCTCAGTGGGTGAGAGGGCTGGTTACTGGAAATGGAAAGAAAGGGGCCTCGTGGTTAGTTGTTAGTAAGAGCCGGGAGCGGTGACATTAACTGGAGAGGGATTGTCCAGACTGTTTTCACACTCTTGCATTGACCACCATGTGACAGAAAGACAAAGAAAACAGTTATGATCTGAACATAACAGTATGCCAGTGGAAGGGAGGACAGTAGCAGGTGACCCAACTGTGGTTTGTGACTACTATGAATTCCCATTGTAGCCAATTTAGTTGCAGTTATTCTGTTAATGATTTTCTGGTCATTCTGTTACCGATTTGGTAACAGAATGATATGTTTTAATCACTTAAATCATAAACCAAATTGTTTAATTTGTAAAAACACTACATAATTGGTAGGTCTACCGCTACTTGTTACTTCTGTGAACATTCATTTTCCTCCCTCCATATTAGAGATGAGAAAATATCTTAAAGATGTGGGTTTTTCAGAATGACTAGACAAGGCAATATTTCTTAAAGTTACAGAAGGCAGAAAAAATGCTCAAAAACTACAGTGAGGGAAAAAAGTTTTTGATCCCCTGCTGATTTTGTACGTTTGCCCACTGACAAAGAAATGATCAGTCTATAATTTTAATGGTAGGTTTATTTGAACAGTGAGAGACAGAATAACAACAACAAAATCCAGAAAAACGCATGTCAAAAATGTTATAAATTGATTTGCATTTTAATGAGGGAAATAAGTATTTGACCCCCTCTCAATCAGAAAGATGTCTGGCTCCCATGTGTCTTTTATACAGGTAACGAGCTGAGATTAGGAGCACACTCTTAAAGGGAGTGCTCCTAATCTCAGCTTGTTACCTGTATAAAAGACACCTGTCCACAGAAGCAATCAATCAATCAGATTCCAAACTCTCCACCATGGCCAAGACCAAAGAGCTCTCCAAGGATGTCAGGGACAAGAATGTAGACCTACACAAGGCTGGAATGGGCTACAAGACCATCGCCAAGCAGCTTGGTGAGAAGGTGACAACAGTTGGTGCGATTATTCGCAAATGGAAGAAACACAAAGGTCCTGTCAATCTCCCTCGGCCTGGGGCTCCATGCAAGATCTCACCTCATGGAGTTGCAATGATCATGAGAACGGTGAGGAATCAGCCCAGAACTACACGGGAGGATCTTGTCAATGATCTCAAGGCAGCTGGGACCATAGTCACCAAGAAAACAATTGGTAACACACTACGCCGTGAAGGACTGAAATCCTGCAGCGCCCACAAGGTCCCCCTGCTCAAGAAAGCACATATACAGGCCCATCTGAAGTTTGCCAATGAACATCTGAATGATTCAGAGGAGAACTGGGTGAAAGTGTTGTGGTCAGATGAGACCAAAACTGAGCTCTTTGCCATCAACTCAACTCGCCGTGTTTGGAGGAGGAGTAATGCTGCCTATGACCCCAAGACCACCATCCCCACTGTCAAACATGGAGGTGGAAACATTATGCTTTGGGGGTGTTTTTCTGCTAAGGGGACAGGACAATTTCACTGCATCAAAGGGACGATGGACCGTCAAATCTTGGGTGAGAACCTCCTTCCCTCAGCCAGGGCATTGAAAATGGGTAGTGGATGGGTATTCCAGCATGACAATGACCCAAAACACACGGCCAAGGCAACAAAGGAGTGGCTCAAGAAGAAGCACATT